AACTTTTAGATTTATGTGTGGACAACAAGGAAGAGCATGTGAATAGCTGTCTATGGAGTAAATCTGTGGAATAGTATGGAGAAGAATTTAAACAGATGCACAAAATCTGTGTGTTAATCAGTTAAAAGAATATATTAAAAACACTTACAAAGAAGTATTTAGATGAGACAGGGTGTTAAATACTTAAACTCTACATTTTGATTGCAATGGTCAAAGTTTAGTGTCATAACTATTAACATTTAAAGCTTGTGTGCATGTATATATTACACTCTATAACAAAAAGAAATATGATGAGTTAAATAGAGATATGAATGAACAAGCATTTGCTTCCTCCTATGTCTTTTTGAGCAGGACATGGTCAACATTTTTCATCACGAGAATAGGTTGGCTTTCTTCCATTTCTTCTTATACGTTTGAGATAAAGACTTCATTGTAATATGTCTGATATGTAATCATAACAAAGTCATTTTTGAAGACCACGCAGTGACTGCCAGTACCTCGTGAGGTGTCGATAACAACTTCAACTTTTCTGAAGATCCCGAGACGCAGAAGCTTCTGTCGCGCTTCATGGGACTTTCGCATAACCTGCACAACAGTTTGAACCATGTGTTACAACTACTCACAACCATAAGCTGAACAGGAAACAATCATTTCACACATATTAATATGTACCTACATCAATCAAGTTCTTTGCCTGGAAAACATCTGAGATTTCATAAGTCAGCAGGTCCTCTTTGGTTCTTCCAAGCCCGTCTATATGCACTTGTTGAACCACAACCTGAAAAACAGAGAAGACAGACGCACAAAAAAAATGGTAAAGATCCCAAAGAGAAAAAAATATACATTTATTTATATATTTGTATTTACATAAATGTTATTATTTAGATAAATTGGCTAATTGTAATATTAGCCAAGATGGCAGCAGCATGTCTCCTTGTTGAATGTCTGCTTTGAATTTTTGGGGTATTTTTTGTTTTTTTTACTATCTTAAATGGATTTTAGTTTTTTCTAACAAGTTTTTAAGAGTATTTTAAACTATTCTCTAAATTCTTGGAAAGTGGTCTTTTTTGGGGACCTCTGCTACTACCAGAGGTTGTCTGCACCACACCAGGGCCTGTGCTGCTAGCATAAACCAACTGAGCCTCAACCAGGGCCTGTGCTGTTTTCTGAGGCTATCTCACTGCACCGGGGCCTGTGCTGCCAGCTGGATCCATCGGCACCATCCCAGGACCTGTGCTGCTGGCTGAGGCCATCTGCACCGCACCAGGGCCTAGCTGGACCCATAGGCACCACACCAGGGCCTGTTCTGCTAGCATAAACCAACTGAGCCTCACCAGGGCCTGCACTGCCGGCTGGACCCATAGGCACCACACCAGGGCCTGTGCTGCTAAACCAACTGAGCCTCACCAGGGCCTGTGCTGCCAGCTGGACCCATAGGCACCACATCAGGGCCTGTGCTGCTAGCATAAACCAACTGAGCCTCACCAGGGCCTGTACTGCCGGCTGGACCCATCTGCACCACCCCAGGGCCTGTGCTGCTAGCATAAACCAACTGAGCCTCACCAGGGCCTGTACTGCCGGCTGGACCCATCTGCACCACCCCAGGGCCTGTGCTGCTGGCTGGGGCCATCTGCACCGCACCAGGGCCTGTTCTGCTGTCTGGACCCATAGGCACCACACCAGGGCCTGTGCTGCTAGCATAAACCAACTGAGCCTCACCAGGGCCTGTGCTGCTGGCTGGGGCCGTCTGCAGCACACCAGGGCCTTTGCTGCCGGCTGAACAAACTGCATCTGTGTTGCTAGTGGAAGACATCAGCACCACACCAAGGCCTGTGCTGCTCGAAAAGCTTATCTGCAATACATCGGGCGCTGTGCTGTTGATTGAAGCCTTCTACACCACATTGGTGAATGTGCTAGCAGAAGCCCTCTGCTAGCAAGCCACCAGGACCCGAACTTTTGGCTGGAGCCTTACTTGCCATCCTAGGTTTGTGCAGCCTATTTAATTCAGCATCAACAATCATTGTGTTTTGGATAATGGCTTTTTTAATAACTTTACTTTGCTTATTGGCCGTGGGGGACTTTTGGACACTCAATTTTTCTAAGATGAGAACATTTAACAGTGACCCCATTCTGCGAGACATG